GGCGGGGAAAAAAATGCAAGCCGGTACCAGAAAATATATATTTTTATGAATCTACCCATGCGACGGGCACTCATAGAAAGATAGCGAAGTCCTTGAAAGCGACCGCACTTATGTCTCTTTTTGTTGTTGCAGACAGCGAAAATAATTGACTGGCGAAACAAACGAGTTATTGGTAAATGACTAACTGCGACAGCTAATCTTTGCTTTTTTATAAAATTTAGGGGGATTTATGTAGTGTAATAAAAAGTGGAGCTTGAAAGGGCTAACTTGGGCCGCCCATCTCTTGCCCGTCGGTCGCCCCGCCGAACATCTCCCAACAAAAGGACAAATTGGGTCGTTCATCTGACGCTAGCGAATAAGGCTGTCAAAAAAGCTCGTTCTTCGTGAACAGTTCGTGTTCGACTTGTCAAATAAACGAGATGCTCGAATTATAAATGAGTCGAACACAAACAACTCTTTCATTCGCTCGTGCTCGGCTCATTTTTGCTTGAAAAAAAAATCAGATGGTGATTTATATAATAATATATTATATATATTCTTTATATAATAGTATAATGTACATATTTATTTGTAAGTTTAAATCATAACAGCTCATGTGTTAATGTGGTTATGTGCTTTCTTTTGGGTTTGAATCCAATGTTCTCACTCTCTTTTTTTCAATTAAATTTAACGAGTCAATTTTGAATCGAACACGAACACGAACACACCGTTCTCGAGCCAATTTTGAACATGAGTGAACACAGGCCAAGTCTTAGCTCTCACAAGCTCGGCTCGTTTACAAGCCTACTAGTGGAGACGGCTTTAGACTAAGTTACCCCGCATTGCTCTCTTCTCTCTATAAATAAAGGGCTTATTGGATGTAAAAGGGGGCCCTTTTTAGGCTCTCTCTTGCCCTCATGTAAAAAGCTTGCTCTCCCTCATTTTTCACATTGTATCCTCATTTATGCTGAATAAAAGGGGTCGAGCCCTAGGGAACGACCCCGATTTATCTCCCGACGGGATCTTCTCTCTCCTTCTCCGAGAATCCATCTGGCTCTATCCCTTTAAGCACGGTCCAAATGACAATTTTGAAGTTAACACGTACATACCAACTAATTTTTATTAAATTTCATATAACATCTTCCATTTTAATATTACATACATATCATCCAATTCTTTTTAATTTCGCATCTACAGCTCTGGTTACCTTTCTGTTAATCGTCTCGAGTTTTTGACGACTTTTCAACAAGCTCGCAAGATAGCAACGTGATGTCGATGCACAATGACCTCCAAGCATCCCATCTTTCTTTTTTCTTGTGCATTCCTACACACTCTAGTATCGTCACACTTGTATGGGATGATAGCTCGCAGTAAAGAATTCAAGCATAGTTTCCGAACTTAGGCGGAGAAGGAGAAAGATGGGAGTTTTGGTGGTTATTGTATGTTGATGTCTCGTCGTTGCCTTGCGAGCTTGTCAGAAAATCGAGACTATTAACAGAAGTGTAACGAGCGCGGCGGATATGAGAACTAAGAAGAATTGGGTGGTATCAATGTAATATTAAAGTTTAGGGTGTTAGATATGAAATTTAATAAGAATTCGGCGGTTTTTATGTAAATCCCCAAAAATTTTGAAGCAATTAATTATTTAAAAGCAAAAATATTCTGAATATAAAAGAAATAACACTCATCCTTGGTGGCTCTTTTATAACCTCTTGAGATATTATTTTTTAAAATAATTAATTATTGCCCACCTTCATGATGAGATTATATTTAATTTTTTATTTCTAGACATAAGTATTGCCCACCTTGATGATGTAATTATATTTAATTTTTTATATTTATATTTAACATTGAGACATTACACCGCAGTGTTGTCTGTTTGGATAAACTGTGTTTTGACAACTTTTTTAAAAAAATGCTGTTGAAACTTGTGTTATTCCATCACTTCTGGCTAGTTGCGGTGGCAGCTTTCAAGCTGCAGTCTGACTTAAAAAAAAAAATTATAATAGTCACCACAGCTTTTTGAGCATCAGATTATTATTTAATAGTTTCACAGCTTATTCTTAATAAATTGCAACTACCCCCAAACAAACACTAAGCCTTTGATAATATTAACTGCGTATTCTAAATGCAAAAAATTCAATATAATTTTTCGCGAACAGCTCGTTTTAGGCTCGTTGAGAAGCTTGTGTTCGATTCGTTCGTTAAGTTTTTTTGTGTTCGATATATAAATGAGCCGAACATAAAAAAAATTTGTTCATTCGTGTTCGACTGGTTTTGGCTTGAAATATATTCATGAACAATATTTTTTTAAAATTTTAATTGACAACAAGGTTAAAAAAATTTATAACCAATTAAAATTATTAATTAAAACAATAAAATAAAAATATATCAAATTATATTTAAATAATTTTTTAATATAAACAATAAGATTTAAATCTTCTGTTAATCATTAACATTCTACGACTACATGATTAAGATTTTCAAAACGCCTCTTTGTTCACGAGCAACTTCTTTTCAACTCTCTAAGCAAACGAGCCGCACACGAACATATTTTTTTTTATTTGAAATATAAACAAACTAAACACAAAGAGTGATATTTTTAATGAGCCGAACACGAGAGAGAGAGAGAGAGAGAGAGAGAGAGAGAGAGAGAGAGAGAGAGAGAGAGAGAGCGCGGATTTACACCTCTAGCTGGGAAGCATCCTTCATTTTTCGAAAAAAAAGAAGATATAAGTAAATAAATATAGAAACAACCACGAGTTAAACGAGAGAGATTAAAGTCAACCAAACGAGAGCAGCTTTTCAAACTCCTGCAGCGAAAGAAAAAACTGATTGTTGTTGTTTTTCTTTTTTTGGAATAAATCTGATTGTAATAATTGCATTTCGCATGCGACGCCCAGTGGAAGAAAGCACAAAAAGTTGAAAGTAACCGCACGCGAAAGGATTCGCCACAATGAACATGGCACTCAAATACCCCACATAAAAAGAAAATAAATGACCGCATAATTTTCACATCTACAAAGATGCAGAGAACCGCAAGCATTGCACAATCACAATTTTATGGGAATTTGAGACAATAATTTTGCTTAAGAAAATTTTGAGATTATTTTAAAAATTTGAGCGCATAAAAAAAAAATTAAATAAGAGATGAGAATAAGCCCACCGTAGAGCTACGTTCAGATTGAAATATTCGACTGTGTTACGAGAATTATACCATCTGCGTTATTTGTAAAAATGATGTGTTATTCGATTATTTTGTTGTGCTAGTTGAATATTCCACGCATTACTTAATTTGGAGCTGAAGTGTTATTGAAATATTGTCCAGCATTATTTGAATTGGGGCTGTGTTATTCCAATAACATAGTGAAAAATGAAATAACACGGGAATATACCGAATAACACAGCTCCAAATCAACTAACACAGGAAAATATTCCAATAACGCCGCAAAATAATCGAGTAACACCATATAATACTCAAATAACACATCATTTTTACAAATAACGCAAATAAAATATTCTCGTAACATAGCCGGATATTTCAATCCAAACGTAGCTCAACGTTAGGAGTCCTGATGTAATATTTTTCCCATCAAATAAGACTACAAGAGGAAAAAGTCACTTTCAAAAAAAAATAAATGATAATTTGAAGAGGAATTAATAATGTCTGTTGACTTTTTGTTGAGCGATAAGATAAGATGTATCATTAGTGATTAATCAAGGTATTTATTATTTTATTAGTAGATGAGTATGTTAAAGAAAATTACAAAGCATCGGATGGTGAATATGATGAATGATTTTGACGTTCTTTGAAAAAGAGTAATTAAATTTGACAGTTACTGATTACTAACTACTATTAGCATTTATCATGATAAACATTTAATTACAAAGGTTAAGTTAATTAAAATGCTTAAAATTAATAATCTAATTAAAGACCAATAATAATAGAAGAGCTCAATCTTTCATATCACATTAAAAAAAAACCACCATTTTAAACTGTGAAAAGTGGAACACACCTTTTTCTTGCATAGCTAAGATGATATGTATGTAAAAATTGATGTTTAGGTGTTAGTTGTCTAAACACATAGGAATTCAGTGGTGTGGTTGTAAATCTTCCAAAAAACTAACGCATTACAAGCATATAAATTAAGTTCGTCCAAGATTGCTTCAGCTAAATCATGCAAAAAATAAATGCCTGCGCATGAATCATTTTTTATTGCAAGGAAATTTTACTTGCCAAAGAAACTAATCTATTTGTTCAAACGGAAGAATGTACAAAGAAGAACGAATGGAGGGGGACGCTAAGAGCTACTAACCATTTGGGGGGGCTAGCGAGATCCAAAGCTTGAGATTTAAGGCAGAAGACTTCACCACCCCACTTTCATCACCCTGGCTTTCTCCAGAATGTACTTGCCTTCTTTATATTTCTGAGTTTCATCGTATGCCTTCTCCTAAGAAAATATATGCACAAACATGCAAATATGTATTGGTTGGTTTTCATGCCAGGGACAAAAATATGTAACGAGAGGGAGCAAAATTACTAAATGGCATAAGAAAATAGATATATTTGCTGATTATATAGAGAAATTGCAAATTTCAGGAGAGGCAATTGTCCGCCCAGGACATAACTAGTTAGTTTTCCAAGTTCCACTAAACAAATCTTATCTGCATTTCATGCTCCCTTTGTTGAATAAAATTATCAATTGAGCAGAGGCAAAATGATGTACATATTCATTTATAATCATAGTTGAATTTCAACATTGATGAGGAAGTTCTCTAATAAGAAACTCATAAGATTCACAACTATATAATAGAAGTATGGTAACTTTGGAAGGCTATGCTTTGCCTTAACACAATAGTTGAATTGTGTTTGGGCTAAAGAAACTACAAGTAGTAAAGTTAGGAAGATTAAACTGAGTGAGAGATATAGTTGAGTATCACTTATGCTATCACAACTATTAAGAGGCAAATTTGGATCATTTTTTATATTTGTTTTCTATTATTTTTAAGAAACATATTTATTTTATGTTTTTCAAGTAATTTTATTTTTTTATTTTTGAAAAACAAAACTTCAAGCTTTTTTTTAAAATATTTCAAATAACTTTTATGTTTTTATTTTTTAAATGAAAACCAACCCTAGCAATCAGTTACTATTGCCATTGGCTGCCATGGTCACCTGTCTTCACTGCCTTGTGCAAGATTCAATAAAAATAAAAACAATAATTAATTTGGATACCAAATATATTTTTTATGCCATATAAAAATATAAATAAAATACAATAAAATAAAATAAAAATAAAACCATTCCCAAAATCCCTAAGCCTTTGGTTTATGTTTCATGGATGATTGATATGAAAAAGAAAACCAGCTACAAGTTCATTTATAATGCAATTGATGAAGTAAATAAGCTAGAACTTAGAAGGAGAAAAGTGCATTTACAAGAAAAAAATTAAAAATCATAAATGAGAATGGAGAGTTTCACCTGGATATGCATCTATACACTACCGGCTATCATCTCAAACCTCAATATCAATGAAAACAATGGAAAAATATAAGAGGATTTATTCTTATTGATGCAAAGAAGGGTATAAATACTCATTACAAAACTTACTGGCAAGAAAAACAATAAAAATAGAATATAGTACACAAGGAAAAGAATAATAATAAATATAAGGGGCAACTAATCTCTCTAATTAAGGAGAAAAATAAATAAAGATTCTGAAGATCCTTTATATAAGTTATAACTCTCTAAATATAGAGTTACAACAAATATGGAATATAATCATAATTATTTACGAGATCTTTCAACACTCTCCCTCAAGCTGGCCCTCAAGCTCTCCCTCAAGCTGGCATGAAGATGTCACTCATAGCAAGCTTGCTAACTAGATTCTCGTGTTGCACTTTGAAAAGGTCTTTTGTTAGAATATCTGTTATTTGGCTAACAGTGGGTATGTAGGATATACATATCACACCACTATTCTCCTTGATGAAATGTTTGTCAACTTCTACATGCTTTGTTCTGTCATGTAGAACTGGATTATGAGCTATAGAGATTACAGCTTTGTTGATTATAGAGATTACAGCTTTGTTGTCCCAGTAAACTTTAATAGGTGCTGGTATAGGAATCTTCAACTCCTCCAGGAGTCTTTATCCATAATACTTCATAGAGTCCATGTGTCACAGAGCGGAATTCTGCTTCAGCACTACTTCTTGCTACCACACTTTATTTTTTACTTTTTCAAGTAACCAGATTTCCGCCTACAAAGGTACAATAACCTAATGTGAATAACAAAGGTACAATAACCTAATGTGGATCTTCTATCATTTACATCTCCTGCCCAATCTGCATCTGTGCAGGCCTCTATGTTCTCCCTTTTTGAACAAAAGTATTTTTCCAGGAGTTCTTTTGAGATATCTCAAAATTTTGAATACAGCTTCGAAGTGAGAAGGTCCAAGTGAATGCATGAATTGACTAACAACACTCACTGCAAAGGCTATGTCAGGTCGAGTGTGAGCTAAATAGCTTAGTCGTCGTACCAATTTTTGGTAGCGTGCTTTATCCATTACCTCATTAGTTGTTGTTGTTTTCAACTTTATATTAGGTTCAATTGGCGCATATGTTGTCTTGCAACCTGTTATTCCTGTTTCTTTGGGTAAATCAATTACTTACTTGTGTTGATTGACAAAAAATTCCCTCCTTGGATCTTGCAAACTCCATTCCGAGGAAATATTTCAGCTTTCCCAAGTCCTTAATATCAAATTCAGCTTCAAGTTTTCTCTTCAAGTTGCTAATCTCCAGAGGATCATCCCCTATCATGATTATGTCATCTACATACATAATCACAATGACTACTTTACCTTTGATGAAATGTTTGAAAAAAAGAGTGTGATCACCTTGGCTTTAAGAAATTCATGTCTCTTGCTAACATCACCAAAACGCTCAAACCAAGCTCTAGAAGACTACTTTAACCCGTACAGGGACTTTTTAGTTTGCATACTTTACCTTTTCCAAATTTTTCTTTAAATCAGGGTGGTAGGTCCATATATACTTCTTCTCGCAATTCTCCATTTAAAATGCATTTTTTACATCAAATTGATGAAGTGACCAGTTGAAGTTAACTACAAGAGAAAGAAGTACTCTAATAAAGTTAATTTTAGCAACAGAAGCAAAAGTCTCTTGATAATCAATACCATGAGTTTGAGTAAGCCCTTTTGCTAATTGATATTAGTCTCGCTTTGTATCTCTCCACACTTCTATCAGTTTTCAATGTGAACACCCATTTTCACCCAACCGTCGTTTTATCCTTAGATAAATCAATGACTGTCCAAGTGTTATTTCTTTTAAGAACATTTATTTCTTCCATCACAGTTAATTTCCAACTTGGTTCACCAAATGCTTCTTGAACAGTTCTTGGAACAAGCATACTAGAAATCCTAGACAAAAATGCTCAATGATTTTTTGATAGTTTTTCATATGACAAATATTGAGTGATAGGATGTTTCGTGCTCGTTCGGATTCCTTTTCTGAAAGCAATTGGAAGATTGAGATCGGGAGTGAAAGTAGAGAGAAGATTACTCTGAGTTGTGGGGTCATTATTCGGCAAAGGTGATTGTACATCTACTGAGAGAATAATTGGGGCTGTAGCAACTTTATGAAATTTCTTCCTAGTATAAACTTGCAGCTCATGTTGAGAATTATGATCCGTTGGAAGGATTTCTCCCCGTCTCTGATAAGGTAACATTTGACAAAAATTGATTAGCAGTGCTCACCCCTGTTTCCATATCAGAATTAGTTAAAGAAATAGGTAAAGTTTTTCAAAAATTATTTTTTTCAACTAAGTTCTGCCCCTGAAGAAAATTGTTTTGAAAAAAAGGGTGATCCTCGATAAACTTGACATCTATGCTCTCAAAATTTTTTTTTTTTGATAGGGTTAAAGCATTTGTACCCGCGTTTATTAGAAGAACGCCCAATAACAACACATTTTTCAGTTTTGGGATCAAGTTTTGAGCGAAACACATTTCGGACATGCACATAGCAAACACACCCAAAAACTTTTAAATGGAGATTAGTTGTTATCTTAGATGTGAAAAAATTATTTTTAACACTTGTAAAAGTGTTTTAAATTTTAGAACTCGAGATGACATTCTGTTTATTAAATAACAGAAGTCAAGGAGTGCATTATCTTAAAAATATTTAAGAACATTCATGGAAAACATAAACGTTCAGGCAACTTCAAGTAAATGTCTATTTTTCCTTTTAGCAACACTATTTTGTTGTAACGTGTCACGACAAGTGGATTGATGCAGAATAGTTTTTTTCAAAATAAATATTCAATCTCATTATCCGTTCTTAAAATGTCAATTTTTGTTTGAAATTGATTTTCAATTATGTAGAAAAAATCTTTAAATTATTGTTCAACTTTAGATTTCTTTTCCAATAAATAAACTCAGCTCGTGCGTGATCAAAATAAATGTTACAAATCATTTTTTTTCAGAAAATGTGTTAACTTTGGATGGACCCCAAACATCACTATGTACCAAATAAAATGGTTTTGAAGCATAATATAGTTTTATTACAAACGAAACACGACTTTTATATAAATTACACGCTTCACAATGAAGTCTTAAACAATCAATATTTTTAAAAAATTTAGGAAATAAAGATTTGAGATATGGAAAGTTAAGATGTCATAATCTTTTATGTCATAACATAACTTGATCATAATCAAAGCTTGAACTTATACTACCTAATCCATGAGTTGTTTTATTCGAAGAATTAGTTCCATCATAGTAGTACAAGTCATTTATTTCTCTAGCAGTTCCAATCATTTTCCCCGAGTTCCGATCATGAAAAACATAATTGGAAGGAAAAAAAATGAAATAATCAGAATCTTTAGACAATTTGCTAACATAAAGAAGATTATATGTAAGTTTTGGAGCATGTAAGACATATTTCAAAGAGATTTTTTCTGAAATTTTAATATTTCATTTTCCTGCATTAGGTGAAAAATTGTCATCAACTATTCTGATTTTTTCGGAACTGGAACATGGATAATATGAATCAAATAATTGAGAATAGATTGTCATATGATCATATGCTCCTGAATCGATGATCCAAGGAGTGGTACTTCCTAGAATAGATAAAGCCAAAGGATTACTACTTGTTTGCGCTATAGAACCGATAGGAGCTTTAGATGATGGGCAAGATTTCAGCAGTTTAAGAAGATGACTTAATTGTTCTTTACTAATTTGGGATGACACGGCCTCATTTGTTGTAGGTGAGCTATGTTCACCAGATTTTTTTCCCTTATCATTAGGTGTTTTATCATGCAACTTCTAGCATTTTTTGCGAGTATGGCGTGGTTTTCCACAGTAGTCACATCACGGGTTATTTTTTGTCCTCTACATGCTGGTTGTGAGAAGTTTTCCTGCTTACTTGAGCTTCAGGAATAACCAGCGTTGATCCTTCCATGGACACGGTTAAACTGCAGTCTTCTTCCCCAACATCACATGTCTCCGACTCTTCTCTCCTTACCTCGGCAAAAACTTCACCAATTGAAGGCAGAGGCTTTCTTCCAATTATTCGGCCACGGACCTCATCAAATTCAACGTTTAGCCCTAAAAGAAATTTGAAGATTCGGTCAGTATCTACTATCTTCTTGTACTGGTTGCATTCATCGTTTGATTTCCACTCATGATCGTTGAATAAGTCCAGGTCCTGCCAAATTCGCTTAAGAGAATTGAAGTATTTTGTCACAAAATCCTCACCTTGGCAAATTTCCCCAAGTCGCAGAGTCAACTCGTAAACTTGGGATTGATTTCCAAGATCAGAGTACATGTACATAACATTGTCCCATAATTTCTTGGTTGTAGAGTAACACAAATAATTTGCACTTATCTCTTCAGTCATGAAAATGACCAACCATGTCATTATCATTGAGTTTTCTGCATCCCAAATGACATGAGTTATGTCTTTCATATCAACTTGTTTAGTATCACTTGTGATATAGCCAATCTTTCCTCTTTCTCGGAGATAGATGCGAACAGATTGTGAACATCGAAGAAAATTATCACCATTTAGTCGGATTGTAGTGATCTAATGGGATGATTTTTCAGATGTATTTCTCAGGAGTTTGGACTGAGATGGCTGAAGAAGCTGGCTTGTCCTAGAAGTGACTTCAGACAATTTAGGGATGAAGGACGGTGAATTTGCTCGAGCCTGAGATTCGCCCGTCGAAGCAAAAGATTACCGCCTTCGGAAAATTACTGCCTTCGCGAAAAAGAAGAAAAGGGAAAGTCAAAGACCCCACAGAGGATCGGACGCTTGCTAACGGAGAGAACAGAGCTCCAAGATCGAGAGAAGCGGACGAAGCAGTAGTCGAACAGATCAAGTGGTGAGCGAACGACTTGAGCTCTCTAGGCGAACAACTCAAGATCGAGCGGCACAGAGGAAGCAGTTAAGGCGTCGAACAGCTCCAAGATCGAGATCGAACAACTCCAAAATCAAACAACGCCAAGATCGAGCGGCACAGATCAGGCGAACAGCTCTAAGATCGAGCTCTCCAGGCGAAGCAGACGACTACAAAGATTCAGATCCTAAATATTCAACGTGGCTCTGATACCAAGAAAATAGTGGAAAAATATAAGATGACTTATTCTTATTGATGCAAAGAGAGGTATTAATGCATCCGTATATAAGATAACAAGTAGCAAAAATATTACATGGGTAACTTTAGCATGAGATTAAATTATATAAATATTATTTGCTATGCTAATTGTGTTTATTTGAAAACTTAGTAATAGATATCGTTTGGAGAATACAATCCTAAATTTCAAGCTTTACTATTACATTACTGAGTCTAATAAGCTCGTTATCATGATGTGAGCGAAATTACAATATGCATAACCAAGTTCATGCCTAGAAAACAAATTATTTTGTTAGCTTAAAAATGAACTTATTGGTTATAAAATAAATAAATATCTGCAAAATACAATTTGAAAGATGATAAAATATATTAATTTGCAATGAAATATCATCAGATGATGAAAATAAAATTGCACCATCACAAATGAAAGAGAAAAATCCCAATGTTAAATTCTTTTATGAATAATAAGACCAAGTCAAACCAATAAGTAACAAAAAATGGTTAGAATTGAACTTTAAGCAATAGAAATTCTAATCAACAATATAACAATTGTTTTAAAATTTAATCAACAACTACAACAAAGCCTTAATCCCACTACATGGGATCGGCTACATGAATCCTTTTTCTACATTGCGTCTTATTTAGTGTCATATTTTCATTTAGTTCTAATAAATTAAGATCATTTTTTATACAATAAGCCCTTTAAAATTTAATCAACATTTTAAATTAATTTTTTATTGATTAGGAGAGCATGAGATCGTAGAGATCGAAGATAAGGAGAAAAATTCAAAGGATGCAATACAGCTGAAGATGAAAAAGTAGAAAAAAAATCACTATATGATTATTCAATTGAAGACACAAGTTGATGAAATTGGGAAAACTTTCGAATTCATAAAATAAAATCTTGGTGACTTCTACTACTTATAAAAAATTAGAAGTGTGGATACCTATAGTTAAGATCTTACTTTGACTTGCTATGACATACCGTGATGTTAGTATGCCAATTTTTTTAATTAATTTAAGTCCTTAATTCTAAGGCTCGTGCCTCAAGATTTATATCTTGCCTCACAAGTAGTAAACAATTCAATACCTGATAGTGTAATTTCAAACTTTGATTTATTTAAAAATCACATACAGCTAAAATGAGTATATACCATGTAAAGATACAAGCCATTGCATTAAAAGACCGTATTACTAGCAAAGTCATGATGTATGGATTTAAATCATCAAACCTTATCAGTTCAGTTATAACTAGAATGAGTTAACTCTCTTGTTTCAGGAAAATCTTTAATGAACTTGCATCAGAACCGCCAACATTACAAGGAAAGTTGAAGAAAAAAAAAACTATAAATTTAATATTTTAACCGCCTTAGATAATGTTTGAGAATATCAAAGGCTCCAAAAGCATTGGTATTAACATGATATTTTTGAGAGGTCGAAGAATATCGGAGTTGCTTTTCTTTGTAGGGAACATTCCATATAAAAAATAATAATAAACCAGAAGTATTATCTTCTTCATTCAGAAAGGCAAACTCAATAAATAAATGACATAAATTATGAGAATCTTACATATCTCCATCCAAGTATTTGTTGGCAGCTACTGCAGTAGATATCATTCACAGTATGAAGTCCAGACAAAAGATGCCTTTCTTCGTTAGGACCCAAAGAAACATTCACCCTGAAATACAGCAAGATCACTCCCACTGGGATCATAATGCTTATAAAACAAGTAGTTAAGATGTTATCATCCAATTAAAAAATAATAATTTGTTAACTCAACTGTTTCAGATATGTAAAAGCAGGGCAATTTAAGTGGTTTTGGAGCCACAATATAACGTAAAAATAGGATTTTAGGCCACATGTATATGCAGCATTTATCACAAAATCCTTTTACAATAAAATTTATGAACCAACAGCAAAATACATAGAATCGAGCGGTATGTATGTAAATCATCTATCAAAATTAAAAATGAAGTGTTCAAAGGATTTGGTTTTTTACATAACAAAATATTCATTATCCAAATTCTAATTGATAAGTATAACATTCCTCAGTGAATTGACTTTCCATTGTCTAAACATTAAGGGTGCGTTTGGGACAGCTTATTGATTGTGGCGACATTTTGAAAACACCGGCTGCTCATTTGTTTAAGGCTTTGTCAAAACGCCGCCCTTTTTTTTCTTAAGAAACCCGTCCGCGGGATCGACCCCGCGGTCCGCGTTTCTTTGCTAATTTTTATTTCGCTGCCCTCCTCTCTCTCGAGTCGCTCCTTTCTGGTGTCTCATCTTGCCTCGCGATCCCTTCTCTCTCACGACATACAATCACGATCATAGCTAGCTGTGAAGGTAAAGAAAGATCGCAACTTACAGAGACCACCGAAACTCCCCTATCTCGGTTACAGTTTTGAAGAACATCGGACGGGGGTGGAAGAAGAAGCAGCGAATGACGAGCATACGAAGGCTTTTATCTCCTATAAAAGCTTCTGCATTCTCGATTTCTCTCCCTTCTTCCCCCTTTTCTATTTTCAGAAATTCATGCAAGTTTATCTGAGTCGACTCACCATTATCTCACTTTCCCTCATAATTTTTTTTTTTTTTACTTGTACTTGTTTAAATTTTTTAATCAATTTTTTAATCAGTGCAAATCATGCGAATTATGGGCCTTCCAATCTTTTCTTGAAGCTTAATATGCCCTTGTTGTTATGTCCGACTAGAATTTTGGGAACCCTATTTGGGTATAGTCCTCTCGTTGATTTGGGTGGCGTTGTTGCTTCTTTAGAATTTTTTTCCATTAGTTGTTGTAGCTGAAAAGTTTATGATTACTTCAAGCAGTGTTTTGTGGGAATCGTTATTGTTGGGTTTGATAGTGCTTTGATTTAGGAGCATCAAGAGGCACTGTATGCGTTTCAGATTTATACATGTTTAGAATAATATTGAGATTGTCAGGCTATTGATTTTATCTGTATTTAGGTGATTCTAAGTAGAAAGAGAGACTTAAGCAATTATTTTTTAGCCATCTTGATTTGATTATCAACATTGCTTGAAACTTAAGGCAAACGATGATAATTTTAAATCCAAATCTCCATTTGTTTTGTAAATTATGGTTCTTTTTTAATTCTTAAAATTAATCCAAAGAATTTCAGGGCAACTTTGGGTTCACAAAATCAAATTTAAATACTCTTGAAGATTATTTTAGAACAATATGAATTCCAATTTCAACAACTATTTTCAAAAGTATTTAAATTTTCAGAGCGGGGTAGAGCTTTTTGTGAGACTGCTACTTAGTTTTTTTTTGTAACTTTTGTAAACCATTTTTTTCTTAATGCAAAATGCACACCTTTAAGAATTGGGCAAACTAGGCATGTTTGATTCATTTCATTTCTCAATCAACCGGCTGAGATATTCCCTCAATTTGTTTTAGGTGTTTGACTTTTGTTAATGTTCTAGTGTAAACAACAACACTGTGTCTGTCAGAATAGTCTTTTATCTACAAAAAGCTACAAATCAGTTGTTTTACCAATGCACAAACCAAACAGTTAAACAGATTATCTAAAACAGAGCAAAACGGTCATTTATCTAGAATCAGCTATTTTTGAAATGCACAAACCAAACAGCTAGTCAGCTTATCAGGATAAGCTGATTATCAACAGATTCTTAAGATAAACTACTTATCTGGAAAAGTTGGATAAGCTGCAGCTGCCTCAAACAGACCTTAAAGTCCCGTTTGGGGCAGCTTATTCGTGCGGTGGGCATTTTGAAAACGCCTCCTTCGGGCTTGTTTTGCATGTATCTCTCGCGATACGAAATCGTTGAACACCATTCCACGCCATTCCTTCATTATTCGCAAACGCCCTTCAAACCCTACTTTCCGCGTTACGTTCGAGCGTAGTACCCTCTAGCCCCTCCATCAATCTCATCCCTGATATCGTGACCTTCGCTTCTCTCTGATCTCTCACCATTCTCTCGCGATTTTCTCCAAAGCCATCCCGGTCGCGGTCTAAGGTGGAGATCGAAGCTGGCTCCAGGTGAGGCTTGAAGCCGGCTCTAGACGGAGATCAAAGGTTTCCTTCAAATAATAGTTCCCCGCTCCAGTTTAAGAACGAAGCCGACTCCAAGTAAGAGGGTTAAAACTTTCCTTCATCCCTTCTCTTTTCAACACCTTCCCTGTCCACTTACGACATTTTTTGTCCTCCTGACTCAGACGAAAGGCTCCAGGGAGTAGAGGATCCAAGATCTCCTTCAGCCCTTCTCTTCTTAACACCCTACCCGTCCACTGTAAGCATTTTTGGTGGAGTGATAAATCGTTTCTTTGTCAAGATCTAACATTTCTTGTTCATTTATGAAGTTAATATATACATATTTGGTATAGATTGTTGTATGAGCAAGATTATAAACTTGCAGAAATTTATGAGTATTTTTTAAAGTTTTTATTTCTTCAATTTATGTTATTCTAAAAGGGGTTGTTTCAGGAATTCTATAAAGGCTATCTGATCTATTCCCTATGAAATTTCAATTGAAGAACATGGATCTATGCATACGGATTTCCAAAATCTTAAATATGACACTAGAATCCAAATATTGCACTTGCACATACTACAAATCCCTATGATGTTTGTGCAACTAGTATTATATGTATGGTATTGAAAGCTTGGATGTTAGACTTTGAGGTGGTTTGTATGTAAATCTTATAGGATTCTGAATAACTCCTTTTTTTTTATCATCTCTTTACAATCTCTTTGCAATAAGTCTTTTTCATTTTTAATGATTGAGTCAATGAGGTAACAAAAACTAATGTTAACGTCTAACTGCATCCAACAAAATGATGGAGCCTAACATTTCACCATGTTCTAAAACATACTTCCTAACTTCAAGCAAAAAAATTAAAACACTTGGAACAACACAATCGCAAGTTTCTGTCAACATTACCATTGAAAAACAGTCCAACGAAGCCCCCAAAAAATACCAAGGAACAAGGCACGAAAAGAAACTGAGAAAAGAGGCCGATCTGGCGAATACAAGAGCATCCTGATGTCGGACTCAGAACAGATCATAAAACAGAAAAGATAACTCACACTCTCGAAGAGATAGGCGCGGCCAAATCGCCCCCGAAAGTCCTTAGAGACGATCTCATCCTGAGAGGCCGAATCAACCTTGCAGCACTTACATTTGAACACCTTAGGTCCCGGCAGCGTTTCCACGAAGAGCAACCCCATCGATCCACTCTCCACTCAAGCTCCAATACACGCCGTGAAACCGATCGACCCAAAACTATCCCAAATGGGGGCCGAAGGGTGAAGAAACTTGGGAAGCGTGAAGCGTTTCTATCTTAGGAAGGAGGGAAGAAAGACGGAAACGAAAACTTCGACAGGTACAGATAGAGGGGAGGGGGACTGGAATCCGAGTGCCGTTTTATAGGCAACGTGCGCTTCGGGATGACCAACGGCGCTTTCGGTTGGAAAATGCTGGCACGTGTCTCACTTTAAAGAATTCAGGAATTTTTATAAATTTTATACGATTTTAATGTATTTATATATCTGAAATTTAAATTTTAATATTATATTTCCAAATTTATTAATATCTATATTTATACATTAAAAATATATTATGTCATTTTAAATGTTTAGGATTATTATGTGATAGAGAAGTCGTATTGCTAAAGATATATTAATGTTTTTGTATTATATAAAAATTCAGGATAAATAATAGCTCATAGAGATTACACCAAGTACTTTACAGGAAAACCTATATTAGAAATAACTATAGAGAATAGCATGATTAAAATGGTTATATTAATCATATATATGTTAGAAGATGTTTCCTGTGCTTGAATAATAGAAAGCTATATTACAAAAGTCGTAGTCATAGACTTGACTTTCACTAGAGGAGCAGCAAAAAATGTTAGGAAAGTGATGGTGATAGTCTAACAGCAGAATGAGCGATAGCCGAACAACGGTGAACCGACTATGACGATTGGATAACAAAGGTTGACGGTGGAAGTGGCATTAGTCAGGTGACAATGATCTGATGGCAGCTATGATAGCGATCAAGCAATTGTGGAGGCTGAAGCGGCATTGGCGGTGTGATTGTGGTCATGTAATGAAGAGAGGATGGTAGTCTAATGGAAACAGAGGCTGAAGATATTGATCCAGTGACGACAACGTGGGTCTGATGGCAAGAACTGGACCTGTTGTGTCAACAAGCAATTGTGTCCAATGATAGCGAATGTAGTTGTTTGTAGTGACATCAAGAGCTTCATTGGTCGTATAATAGTGGTTTGATGATAATGTTATACCGTGATGACTGCAATGACATTAGTTGGTTAACAATGATTTGATGATGGAGACAGGCAACGATTGTGCAACAACAATATTGTTGGTCAAGCGGTTGCAGTCTGACGATGACAATGGTGGCAAGGGGGCAGCGGCAGTTGAACGACAATGGTCCGACAATGGCAACAATGGCGACAGTAGTAATAGCAGTCGAGTAACAGTGTTCTACTGAGGATGACAAATAACGAATGATGATGGTCTAGCGATGACATAGCTAAAAAATTTTCAAGAGTTTGAGCTCCCTCCAATGTTCTCATCATGGCCTAGTTCTAGCCACTTTTCATACATTTTGGGAATGACATCTGCCGTAAATACTTTCAGGATCTAAACAACTTCATCGAACAATCCTGGTGATTGCCTTGATCATATGTAGTTGTACCAGTGTTTGAAAACCTCAATAATGTCAAGTGATGTTAACTTTATTAGATTCATTTCATTGAGATGCTCAATTTGATTAGAAATTTGTCAGATTTGAAGATCATTTAATCTTCTAAAATATATTACAATGTTTTTTTTTTTTTTTAAGTGCATGACCTAGGCTCAATTGGACTTAGATCGGATCTTTTTATGTCATTTGGTTTGTCTCATTAGAACACTTTATTTGATCATAAATTCAAGTGTGCACAATTCTTTATTTATTTTTTAAAGCTTTTAGTTCCAAAGGGAGCGTTAAGATTAGTGCTTGTTCAAGAGGATTTTCTTAAGCCACATCAATGACAGTGATATTTTAATGTAATATTAAAATTTTATGTTACCCATATAATCATGCGAAGCAATCAGACAAGGGCTCGAACACTAGAGTGCAAGTCCTGTTCTAACCAAACCCTAATTTCTCTCAACCTTCATCTCCACGCAGAAGATACAACCAAAGCCCTCTCCATCCACCCAAGATACAGAGCCTCATCCCTCTCCTCAACCCCATACTTCCCACAATAATTCTCCAACAACGCCCTAATGGCCGCAATCACCAGCGAGCTCAACGGATAGGGCACGAACCCCGCCATTCTAAACCTCGCCCTCCATTTTCCGTGCACCTCATGCCGCTCAACTCTCTCGGCCCCCTCGCAGGCGATTACGTTCACGATATCCCTCGCCAGACAGTGCTGCTCCACCGCAATCCTTTCCTTGCTCGTCCTCGAGAGCGTCGCGTCGATCGATTCAAAGATCGCCGTGTAGTAATCGAGAGCCTCCATGAATCGCGGGAAGAAAGCGGAGGTGTTCGTGTTTGATTCCTGCTCCACCACCGTCACCACCTTCGGCGCAAGGCTCTTCACCAATCGCAACAATCTGTCGCGGTGATTCCACGTGCTCACGCTCTCATCCGGCATGCGGTGGAGCTGGAAGGCGAAGTTAACGGCCAAGGCTTCCCCTCGCCGGATATCGACATTCTCGAGCTTGAACTCGCAGCCGATAATGGCTGACGCAGAGCGGAACTCAAACGGCACGTTACATGATTCAGCCAAACGAGATAACTGCCGCCCTGCGGCGGCGGCAGCGGTGGCGGCGGCGGAGGTGGTGGAGTCGACGATCCCGGTTATTCTCAAGTGCGGCGGGCCTCCGGGTCTCGTAGCCAGGGCTTGAATGAGAGTCGCCCATTGACCTCCGTGCGCCATCTGGAAGTCGATAATGTGAACCTTCTCCTCATTCCTGACGGCATCAGCAATGGCGCCATTAGCGGACAAGTAACCGAACTTGAAGCAGGGACAGACCTCGTATAGAAGATGCATGTAAGAGAGCAGATCGGAGCTAGCTGGTTCTCTGCAGATCAGGGATTTGTAGATAGCGCTGCCGGAGGAAGAAAGACGAGCGACAAGTCCTTCGAGCATGTAGGCTGCAACCCGTTGGAACGGTTCGCCAAACACTGAAACCATTTGTTTTGCTTCGGCGATGAGCCATTCTGCATTCAGAATATCATCTTCTGCAAGAGCTCTTGCACAGGAGATGAGTATCTCCTTGAGGTCTTTGGGAATATGGATTAGGAGCTTATTACAGTCAGACCAAAGGAGCAGACTTTCGAGTTCCTTTAATTTGAGGCTGAGATCAAACGAGTCTGAGGTTGAGGATGAAGAGTTCATGGGAGATCCATGAGTTTGATCCGAATGGCTCTCGTTGGGGGAGGAGAGACTGGGGGGAGATGGAGAGCAGTAGGTGTAAGTAGCGACCGCTGAAGAGGATTCCAGAGTGAAATACTGAAAATTAGGTGATTGGGGAGAGAGCTTTTTCATGGCCGCCCTTGTAGCTTGCATGGTGACTTGCTCAAGTGATTCTCAGACATTAATGAACTGAATGAACTTGGATGTTGAAAGAAAATATGAGAATGGGCTTTCTGGTGAGAGAGTTCTTCTTCTTTGGGTATTTATCTGAAAGGAGATAAATTTGATTCTAATGAGTCAAACTAGATTCAAAATCAAATTAAATGAGTTCAAACTTACTTAAACTTTGAGTCAGCTCAACTTGGAAAGAGTCAATTGTGAGTCATTCAACCAACTCAACTTAAAATTAAATGCACAAGTTTAATAACTAAAGCCAGAAAGCCTAATTTTCTATCAAGCAAAGCAATTGCAATTAATTTCAGAGACAGATTGTGCCACCCAACAATTGCTGTTGCACTAGCCTCTTGTCTAACATATATAGCATCAATAAAGCATGATTATTTAGTATTTCTCTCTTTCACTTATATTTTTAGGTAATTCCAAATGTTATCATTGTTTTCTTGGTATTCTGAATATCAAAACACTATAAATAGTAAAATTCATTGATGTCATGCTAAATCATCATCAAATTTTTATTCAGCCCCTAAATGCGGTAAAAGGTGCATGCCCATATCAACTTCACTATAGATGAGTGCTTGTGGTTCATGAAGAAGACTTCATAGCATATTACAAAAGAGTCTCATATCACATATTATGAAATAACAAAAAAATGTATAATGTAGGAGTGATTTCTGTGTATTATGCCTTCTATGACGACTTCATTGTTGATTCTTCCACAATATACAACCAAATTTTATTAATAAGAAGATAAATATTGCTTTTAATTTATAGTAGGGATGTAGTTTTAAATGTCTTCTAAATGTGCCTTGAAATATCCTTGCGCCAGGATGAAAATTTTAAGGCAATCCTTCGGTTCCATTGAAGAGTTTACAATATAATTCTTCTAAGGAGTCATTCAACTTAAAGGTATGCTAGTCTTGCTTATGGAAATTATCATTGATTTAATCAATAAATTTGACAGTTTTGTTCCTTCTAGGCTATATTATTCCAAACAACTGCAAAATGAGTGATAATCCAAAGTGGTAGAAACTAAGCAACGAATTCATTGTAAATGAAACACCAAAAAAGAACAATTTTGATGTGGAAAATCTTTTCTTTTAGTTTTGTATTTGTGTTAAATCATTTAAATAGATATCATGAGGTCGGTTCGCATGTTTTGAGTGTTAAGTTGTCGAGCTTGCACAAAAAAGTGCACCATGAAAGCCTAATCACGGTTAAATAACAGGACTTTGAATTGCTTTGAGTGTTATGTTGTCTTTAGTTTTATTTTTTTGATTTTAAGTTGTTTCGTATGCATATATATGAATTAGAATAGTATTCTTTTATACGAGCTAATCATAATGAATCTGCAACTGTAACAAGATGACATAGTCATAATTTGATGAACATGCATATAATTCTTTCAAGTTTTTTGTGCACTGCTCTTCATATTTGGTTTTCTTTCTTCTTTTTCACTTTTTATGTTTGAATCAGGTTGTCATGAATTCCCAACATTAAGCACTTTCCTTGTACAATTTGCTTTTTGGTTCTCTTTTCATTTAATATGATTAAATAATCATGAATAAAAAGGAAGATTTACATACATACCACTCAATTCCTATGTGTTTACATATCTAACACTAAACCTCTGTTTTTATATACCCTTAGCAAAGGTGTATTTCACTTTTTAAAAGTTAAAATGGTAGAATTTTTATGTGATATGAAAGATTTGGGTGGTATAAATATAAAAAAGAGTTAGATATGTAAATAAATAGGATTTATGTTGCATGTATGTAAATGCCTCCAAAATAAAAAATGGTTGGTCACATATTTTAATATTACAAAATGGAAAAAAAAAAGTTTTTGGGTAGGCATGTGAACATAACATCTAAGTTTTAGATCTCTTGAATCAAAATCATAAAAGTTAGTCACTATAGTTAATAACAGAGCCCCTCAAACAAAACATAAATCCCGTTAGAAGGAAGAAGAGACTCTAGATTTGTTCATAACACAACAATTTGTTGTAACTTAGATGATTTTGACATATAAAATGAAAAATATATCAATTGCAAATAGCAGGGGAGTATGAAATTAACGTCAAAGGATTAGGAACAAATATAAGATACCAAAGAAATGTTGTTAAAATTTTCTATTCAGCAAGCAGTAGGAATGAAGAGAGAGAGAGAGAGAGCTAATGAACATGAAAATTTGGCATAAAACTAATGATAACAATAATGAAAACGTTAAAAACAGTGTTTTTGTAATCCATCATTTCAGTAATCTTGTATACTCAAAAATGGTCTGCAAGAATCCAACAGCGGTGTAAATAAGCTAAAATGTCATTTGCTCTTCTCTTTTAATTAGGGTTGGATATGTAATTTTTATATCTTTTTGTCCCTCATATCTTCTATAAATATGAGGGATTTATGATATAAGAGTGGGACTTGGCTCTCCCCAATTTGTAATACATTTTCCTTATGGCATAAAATGGCCTGGAGAGCCCGGGAACACCCCATATTCACCCGTCGGGGTAAGTCTTTCTCTTCTCTCTTCATTTCTCCCTCTTTCACGCTCCTTGTCTCGGTCCAACATACTATTCCTTGGCCGCGGTCTACCGAATAGATTTGGATTCAACAAATCTGATGGTGACGAAATTGTTTACCAACAGGATCTCAAACTTCAAAGTGAATTTACTGAAGCAATGCAATGAAGAATCAAAAGAACCTGAAAACTTAGGAGAAATATGTGCAAAAGAAAAAAGAAACGACAGCTTTCAATTCATATAAAACAAAATTAAAGAATAGGCATCTGATACGTTTAAAAAAACAGGGGAGGGGATCTTATGCGCCTCAATTTCTACAATAAAAAACTTAAATAATCTCTTGGAAAGAAATTTTCTACAAGTTCATCCAAAATTATCTAAACAAGGAGAGATTCATAGCTCACAGGGCTACAAAATCCACTCAGAAAAGATTAAAAAAATGAAAAAAAAGAAAAAAACGGGACTCATTCTCTCCAATTAATTAATCATCAAGTCTCGACGATGAACTAGCAGATTCAAAACCAGTATACATAACCCTAGAAGCCGAACAGTTTAACAATGTTAGAAACCCGGATCATCCTCTCCATGAAAATGCGAGGCGGATGGATTTTATAGAAATACTACGAAGAAATAAACCTACCTATAAATGAATAAAAAATTAGGAACAAATCAAACTCGTGGTATGTAAGAGATCTTCCATTAAAATCAATAGATGCAGCAGACAATGGCGATTTCTCAAGATTTTAATTAATAAATACAAAACCAATAAGGTGTCTTTTCTTAAGGATTCACCAAATCTGACATACCTTATGATGAATTACAGTCTCGCCATTGCATTCCGCAGAGCTCAGAGCTGAGAGAAAGAGAGAAAGAGCAACTTAACAGCAGACGTTGCTCCTTACCTGATTTATAAGCATCAAGAACAGTATATGACCCCTTATGTTGCTTTATATTACACTTGTGCCATTGAGCCCATTTGCACGAATCTTAAAGGCTAAGGATTTGAAATTGTTGACCAAAAGCATTCATTATTTAAAACAATTGCTTGTATTAATTATTATTTTTTAGGGGCCATTTACATTCTTATCACATAATTTTTATGTATTTGAATATCTAGCATTAAAATTACATCAAAATATCACTATATTAATTTTTAAAATAATGAATTATAAGAAATTAAAATCTATGTGTTATTAGGGCAATCAAAAAGGTTTGTTGTTCGCGAACAGTTCGTGTTCGGTTCGTCAATAAGTTCGTGTTCGGTTCGTTTGATAAGTATGATAAGTAAACGAGAGATAAGTAAACGAGACGAACGTGAACAAATTTTTTTTTCATTTGATTAGCTAAACGAACCAAACACGAACAATGATGTGTTCGTTCGTGTTCGAATTATTATTGTTCGAAATATAAAATAATTTAAAATAATTATATATAAAAGATTGATCATATTTTAAAAAATTAAATTTAATAAATTATAATATATAATAAATTAATAATAATATTAATATACTATATTCGTAATATACTAATATAGATATTATATATTTATATAATATAAGTTATACAATTAATATAATATATTATTTATATATATATTAATATTAAGGATGACAAATTGGCTCGTCGTTCGAGAACAGCTCGTGTTCGGCTCATGTTCGGTTCGTTCGTTAAGAAACGAACATAAACATTGACTTCACGAACAATTTTGAACACGAACTTATTTCAAACAAACCGAACAGGAACACAAGCTCTGTTCGTTCGTGTTCAGTTCGTTTACTCCCCTCTACGTTGGATATGTAAATACATAGAACTCGGGTGGTATCTACATAAATCTCCTTTTTTTTTTTATTTGTTTATGTTATAAATAGGATTGGTGGTGATGATGTGTCATTCAACAAAGCCACATTTTCTTAATGCTCTCAATTTATTTATAATTATATAAAATAAATAAAGAAAATGAATTTTCAAGTTTGAAAAATGCGAGATACATACAAAAAAAATTGGAAGGAAATGTGATATGTTTCAACTGACATTATTTCCCATTTTTGACATTACCATTTTCTTTTGTAATTGCACACAATCCTCATGGTGCCTTAAGAGTCATTGTAAAATAGTAGGTCTTTGACTATTTTGTATTCTAATTTTACATAAACAAATACAGAAAATATCATATTTATGGCGGAAAAATTTGAGAAAGGTAAAAATTACTGAGTCACGTCACAGCAAGAAATTTACTGTGAAGCAAAACTGAGAAGAATAGTAAATTGAAATCCAACCCTAAACCCATACGAAGGGTCGTTGCCCTCTCACTCATACGGCTTGACAAACTCTGAGTTGATAATTGATTGTAAACCCTAAATAAGGTTCCTTATAATAACATGCGTGCACATACACGCACACACAAATATATAGTGTGCGCACTTAGGTGGCAAGTTGGTAGTCATCTGCGTTGTCAGTCGCAAGGCCCCTCTAACTCGGGTTCGATCCCTACAGGGACGGGTAACACATATAGGGAGTGGTATCCCCATATATATATATATATATATATATATATATATATATATATATATTAAAGTAGAATTCTTATTTTCTTC